ATGTAGCTACACAGGGGGTCGCTAAACCGGGGCCTCCACTGTAACTAAATATGATTTCGTGATGTGATTTCGTCGTTAAGACCTACCCTCACCACTCCGGGCTGGTTGCATGGTACCGTCTACGCAAGCTCCTACTGCAAGAGTTACAGCACGCAAGACAAAAATATCTACGCCTGTTCGTCCTTGAGCATCGCACCTATCGGTGTCATCGTACCTGGGTGCGCTCACTCAGCACCGCATCATGGCCACTGTGATTCTCCCATATCGCACCCATCGGTGTCATCGCACAGTTCGAAATCTAGAACGAAATGATTCAATTGCATTTCCGCACCGGTATCGGTGTCATGGCCATGGCACTGGGGTGCGATAAAAAACCAAGATAGGAATGATTTAAAAAACGATCACACCCCGGTGCCATCACACGCACTTGTACGGTACCATTATTCCACATACCGACCCCTTTGTATGTGGGTACAAGTATATATATATATATCGAACGGGTCGTCTTTCTGTGCATTCATTTATTTTTGACCAATAACCAGAAACGGGTACACCCGGGGACTTTATCACCACTTTTAGGGTACAGTTAGAAATCAACACGCTGGCACCCCCAGGCTGTCAGCAAAACATTGTACCCATTTCTGAAGAAACCTCCATCAGGTACAAGTTCCGCTGGAATTAGGACCCTCTGGTGTGACCGATATTGGTTACTGGTGTACCCAGAAGTGGTCAATTTTGTACCCAGAAATGGTAAAATAATCCCGGCGCCCGACGCTCTAGCATAAATCCCGCAGAAAAAAACGTGTGCCGCATATACCGTGTACCACACATACATAACCACAACCAAACCACCAACAACGCTCGCTCGTTCGTTGTTTATCATGGGCACCGCCTCCATAGGATACTGGCCCTTCTCAAAAGAGGGTCGGACTCGCTTGACGTGCGAGTACCTCGGTGTGGTACTGATCAGTGAAAGCACAGAGAGAGAGAGGCACAGAGAGAGAGAAAAACGGGCACGACCTGCCGTGCATCATGCTTCCGAGGCACAGGACACACAGGACACAGACAGCGGTTGATTGGCTTCGCCGCAATCTACGGCGGATGCTGTAGGAGATTGGTGTCATCTTGATTTCCAAGTGTACCCCGAAATGGTGATATTCTATCCGGGTATACCCGTTTCTTGTTACTCCTCTATATTTTTCCTTATAATCCACTGGGTGTCCACCCCCCGGGGTTAGAAAAACAAATGCTCTCCCGTTATTGGGTTGCATGCTGTTGCTTCCATTCATCGTGTTTTACACCTGTTGCGTTGTTTAAGTACACAGACACATGAAACACACCGCGTGGCACTGAAATGTGCCTTACATGCCGCGCATTTATCGTGCTGATGTTCGAGAAACCACACATACATCATCATCCACGACTTGGTCACTCAATTTTCAGTGCGACCCTCAAAGCCCGGAGTAGGAGCATCACGCCTCTACGCGCTGAACGAAGAACCCCGAAGCTCGACGGAATCCGCGGTACGCACGATGTCATGTAGGCGCTCGCAAGTAACTGGGAGTGTTACGTTCGCCTACCGTTCCGCCTACCACTTTCCGACAGTTTCGCACGCAACCCTACGCCAACAAAAACGAACGCCGTTTCAGAGTGAGTTTACGCCCCGTCGTTCGTTCGGCTCCTCTTCTTCTTTCTCCCTCTTCTCTTCCTCCTCCCCCCCTCCTCCTCCTCCTCGTCGTCCCCTTCGTCCTCATCCTCTCCACCTTACCCTGACCCCTACCCCATTCCTTCCCTCTTCCTCACACTGTTCTCTCCCCTCCTTCTCGATCGCTCGATTCCGAGTTATTTATTGTACCGCCGAGAATTCTTCTGGCTAATGTCTTACGCCGCAACAGCCTGGGCTAGGCCTTTTGCACCCCCTGAGGGTGGGCTCCCTCCGTTCGTCTAGGTGTGGTACTCCGTACAGCCTACAGGCGGGGCGAGGGTGGATGGCCACACACACCCACCCCGGTAGGGTCATGGATTTGGAAGTGTTTTCTTTTGTTCTCAACCGCACTGAGACTGACGTCTTTTCATTGGTCAGCCGGTTGGCGCGGTCGATGCTACAAATATCAACATACGGCCAAGGGCACGAAGAAGCACAATACTCCCCCCTATACACACACGGTGCCCCTTCAGATGTATGTAGGCATTTCTATTGTCTGGTGTAGTATAGGATTTAGTATAGAGTAAGCAGCCGGGGCTTCTCTCTTTCCACCGGTGTGGGGAACTCTTCCTACTGTACGTAACACCTCAGACGACTACAGTAAGTCCCCATATGGTACTCTACGATTCACGTTACCCAACCCGGGGTCGTCATGAGAGTATCGTTACAGCAGAATATAGTATCTTCGTCCCACTACCCCCACGCCATGATTTCCTCTTTCTGTCTCACCACTCCTTTTCCCGTGTCGCCAACTACGCAACGCACCCGTCGTTAACCCTCTGGCTACTTCCCTGTCCTCTGGACTACTCGTTCGGAAACCTCCCAACCACAAGGGCTGACGTTCTTCCGCCCCAAAGGAGGTGCAAGGCAACGTGTTGTGTTCACGCCCCGACGTCTTGGCAATCTCTCAAAGTGCTCACAGAGCCTGACCAGGCCTCAACACTCTGACTTCACGACCGCCACGGAACGAGGGTATGGGTACGTGATCGGGCAGCGTCGCATGACCAGACATCTCAACGAAATCAGCGCTCTGTACCTCGATTGCATGCCACTAACCTCCTGTCGTACAAGCCTTACTTCTCCAATCTGGTCCTGATCTCCCTTGTGAGCAAACACAAAACAATCTAGCTGAGACCTACACACAACCACAGTCGCATACCTTTTGCCACGCTGGAATTGATCTTTCACCGTCCAGCAACATTCTCCACGTAGCGGGCTAATGATTCGTTGGCCCCGCCGTGCAGCACAGCCTGTGTCTCTATGGGGTCGCCGGAACCCCGCCACTGCGGTTGACTAATGGAATGTACCCGCCGTAACTGTCCATGAGATCATGTTAAATAGCCAACCACCACACGAGAGCTGGGAGAGGACGCGATGGCGGTGGGAGCGCGCGGGGCACTAGTATGGGAGGCGGCGAGCGGGGTAGGGCTACCATAAGTAATGGCGGAGGACGTCGCAGTGCATTCTCCATGAAGCAACGGCGGTCGCCGGAATTCTCCGGGAGAGGACGCTTGGTCGGCGACACGATAGGTTGGCAGCCGGGGTGGCGGCCGCGGATGATGGCTTTGCGCAATCCGCAGGAAGGAATAAAGCTCCCGGTAATGCTCCACTGAGGCCCAGTAACTAGCGGCATGGACTCGATGTGCGGCGGCGTCGGGTGCTGCTCCTTAAACGCCGGGGCCCTGGTGAATCATGTGGAGGTCCACTGACGGAAGCCCTCATCGATCAAGTCCGCCGTTACTCACTTTAATGGTGGCGGCGTCGTTCATGTTCGTCCGATGATGGCGGGAAAGGCTGTGGACCATCTTAGTTCCTTCCCGAAGCCGTTGTCGAAGTATCCCCAGGCGCGTGACCCCGTGCTCCAAATTTCAGCGGACAGAACCTTCGTGATGGTGAAGACCAACGTCTGCATGTGATCGACCCGGTTGGTGCGGGTAAGGTTCGGGTCGCCGCCCTCGGCGATGTACATCCGTACGCGGGAGCCCGTCATGGCATCAAGTTGGTCGAGAACCGCCGCAGTCATCAGCCCCTCATCCTACACCAACGACTACATCTCAACAAGCTTCAAGTTCGCACCCGTGGGCCGCTTGCCGATAACCATCCAGGCTTTCATGATAGCGAGGATATGCCACGCCACTAATGATCCTTGCCCTTGGCCCGAGCGTTCCGCACGTGTACCATGGACATGGCTGTGACGAACGCACCAGGAGCGGATGGCTCGCTAGTGTTTGCCCGCCCCCGCTCGGTCTCGGTCCCGCCGACGCCGCTGCGTCGCAATCTTCCTTCTCCGCGTGCAACTGGCGAACCTGGCCGTTCGCCACATCAATGCTCTCTTTCGTCGTTGCCAAATTCCTCACGCTTCACGGCAATGTCGGCGGTGCTTGCCCCTCAGCCGCGCAGCGGTGCAGCCGATCGCGTCCGACCCCTGATCGGCGTCCGTCGTGTCGTGCTGCTGGTGGATGGCTGAGCAGTCTCCCGACCCCGCCCCGCCGGCGTCCCACTGGACCTCGATGTCGTCGTTGGCGGCATTAGTTGTGAATAAGCACCCCACGGCTGAGAGGGACGGAGAAAACAAGCAACAAAAATACAAATCTAGTCGCAGGCGGTAGCTACTGCTGCTCGGCAACCACTGACCGCTGCGGAATCACGTCGATTTGTACATGGCAACGGCACACCGTGGATTGTTTGGTTCAGCAACTCCGCATAGGTGGGCCGCGGTCCGCTGCTCTTACACTGTGTATGTGTTTGTCTTTCTGATTTAGCGCGGGGTGCCGGCTTCCGGCATCAGGACTGTACGAAACGACGTGCACGCGTCCGCTGTAACATCACTCACTCCTGTGACCTGGCGCAGTTTCAAACCATCCAATGTCTTGTTCTCACCCGAACAACATCGTGACCACGGGCGAATGGCTGTACTGCAGTTCGACCGCGGTGTCGACAATTCCGTCATGATACCGCCAAGAACGCGAAAGAGCACGAGTTTTTGGCCTCAAAACTTGACCAATCCTTCGTATCCAGCTACTGCTGTGTAGCTCTCCTGTTGTACGCCGCCCAGTGTGCCTTCTCCTTGCACGTGAATTCTCCGAGATAGTGATCACTCCAAACGGTACTCTTCCAACTCTAGGCCCCCAAAATTTGGGACCTAAAACGCCTCCGGCAAATCAGGGCCTTGACAGTATTGCGTTGTTGCCCATGGCTCAGGGCCATGACCTTACCCAAAAAGGCCACCCAATGCTTGCAAATCGACGGTTTCAATTCGATGGTTTCAAGAAGCAGTAGTACGCATCCACAGTGAATGTCAGCACAAACGACCTTGCTGGCTAATTTTTTGCAGGTGGGGAGTATCAGATCGACTTCTGCAAGCTCCATTCTCAAGAAGAACATCGGAGACGCCACTATAAGCCTTGTTGCGTGGGTTTTGGTGGGATACGCTCTCTCTGACGGCAAAGATCAGCTCCGCATCGTCGGTGGAAGCTACTTCGGTCTTGTGCAAGGCGAGAACAGCATATTACCAGTGTTGGTGCTCACGATTTGCCTACGTGGTGGGCTCAGTGATGCTCTTGTAGCGTTGGGTTGTAGGAAGTGGGGCGCGAAGGACTCTTTCAAAGTGAGCGGTGGGTGACACAAAGCCAATCGCTGTCATGTTTGGTTGGTCAACGCGAGACACGGAATCTGAATATTAAAGTATCTTAGAGGTGACGTCTGAAATCTATGGGCGGGTTGTGTCCTGCTCGAGGGCAATAGAACGGGAGATCGAAAGGTCTTGACCTTTCAAGTGCAGCACGGCAAGGTTTCAAAACGTTGTTTGTCTGACGTGCCAAGCTCTAAGCATTGTATCGACGGCATTTTCCTGACCTATTTTCTATGCTCTTCTAGGTTACAATTTTTCCAGCATCTGACAGTAGTAGTACAGTAGTGTGTTCGGAATCGAGGCATCGCCAGGTGCATCGTGGGGGGCTTGGATCTCTGCGCAAGCCAACGGTTGTAGTTGTGCTATGCATCACAATTCGGGCCAGTATCGACACATCCGGCGCCAACATTCTGAACCACGACTAGTCGAGAGACATGGAGATTTCATCGTCGGGGTAACTCGCACGTTACTGCACCATGTGTTCAATAGATGCGGTCCCCTCGCTTCTGTCCTCTCGAGTAGGGGAACCCTTCGAGGCAACCGATGACAGGGACGTCGGCACGGCTTTGCTTGAGTGCTTGTTCCGGTGGTCCTTTGCCGCAACTTGTACGACCATTGTTTCAGGTGAGTGCGCGTGTTGTGTGGAGGTCCGCCGCAAGTTCAAGGACACTCACATAAACTGCGGCTGGCTCTTGTGAGGGAACGGGTCCCCAAATAATTCACTACAGCTTCCTTGCTGGAGTCGATTTGAAAGGCGTATCGTGCAAATCAAGTACCGACAGCACCGTTCTTTGTTCGTAGTCTTTGCGATACGAATGAAGTCGCTGCGGTATTTGTTGCGACCTGGCGATGACTCAAGCATTATCGCCATGCAGGAGAATCACGAACCGACCACGCAATCGAGTGCCGACAATGTACTCGTCGCGAACAAGGCAGCTCAAGACATTGCAAAGAGTAGTCTGCGTTCACGGAAATCTCAGGAGACGGAGCACTTCTCACTACTCGTACAGGAGTAGGATAGGAACATCCCCAACAATCAAGTTATCGTCACGCTTGTCGGTTGCACTGTTAAGTCCATGTCCAATAACGTCAGCTCTCCCCCTCGTTACTATTTTTTCCATGCCCCCGTTGTAAACTATGGCTGGTGAGACGATATTCTTGTCATTTGACCTGATCTGTATTGCCATTTCCACCTTCTCACGTGCATCTAGAGTTGAAATGATACCTTCCTACAGCATTAAGAACTATGTCGGTCGTGGTCGTGGACCACCCATTCTTCTCTGCATTTCGTCTTGTTTAATTTGCCTCGCACATTGGTCGTCTCCTTCCAATGCTTCACCCGCATGGTCTAGCGCTTTTGTACGATCATGTTGAGCAGTCTCCATCCCGCGATCCTGGCGTCTACTACATGAGTGTAAATCAAGACCGTCCGTCCTGCCCAATTGTGCCTCGCCTGTCCCCGGAGGGATGAACCAAGCATCCCACAAGCATGCCCGTAAACAACTGATCACCTTCACCCTCTTCCCTCCTCGCGGTTTCATCGACGTTCATTCAATCCCACCGTCGATGAAGGTGCTGTCGCCGATCGCATCTACGTCAACGCCTACTTTGTATGTGAGTCATCACATCGGTTCACACTCCGCGAACGCCTCAACATTCACACGTACGTGGGACGCGTCAGAATTATTCTGGTTTTGAAAGGACATCCAAGACGTTCTCATTCCGCGAAGATATCCCACGAGAGGTTGTGGGGTTGTTGTTCCGACCTCGCTGAGGTCAGCACAAGCTCACCTAACCTCGCGCAAGCAGCGATTTTTAGACGCCAGTCGCACTGAAACGTACCGTGAGGAACCTATATGTGCTATTTGTTGATATATGGCCTGATATTGATTCTCCTCTTTCCTTTTTCCGACGGCCAATCACCGGTTGCTCCTTTCCGTCCGCGCCGCCCCGCCGCCACTACAACTGTCTTTCTGCAGATGCCTTCTTGACATCTGCCGTGTTTTATCCCTTGCTTGCTCACGCTGCGTGGGCCGACGAGGGGTGGGCCTCTCCGTTTCTCACGAGTGAGGGAGAGTCGGCTGCTTGGTTGAACTGCGGCGTTGTTGACTTCGCTGGATCGGGTGAGGACGAAGCAGGCGTTGAAATGTGATCCCTGCTTTCGCGCATCCTTCCGAACAATGCCCCAACGTGCACGTTCGTTGGAAAGGGGCTGGAAGGTTTCCGTGGCAACTCGGTCACTACTTTCTCCTCTCTCTCTGCTTTCTTTCGGCCACCTAAGCGCCCATTCAAACCATCTTTTCTGGTCTACAGCACAAGTGTACATAACAGTCCTTCTGTGAGCCTCTGCACACTGTTACGACACAGTGGCCATTACCAGGGATACACCTATCACAAAAATGACATCCTAACACTTGCTCCAATAACTAGGGAACTGAAACCAACAATCAATCATTCCGGCCGGTTCGCAGCACTGACATCGTTGTGGCTCGCGTCGGAAAGGACTCTTGCTCGTTTACACACCCACCAGTACGTACCACCAGCCAGAAGGGCCAAAACAGGTGTTCTCCAGAAAATATACGCCCACCACACCAATATCCGCAATCAATCGTCGCCCGCCCGCCAGGCGTGGTTCATATGCTGGGAGGCGGCATTGGCCTCGTATTGTCGATGGTGGTGGACAATCGGTCGGACAGGTTTATCGACGCCAACCCGCAGCTCGTGGAAAGGAACAAATCGGCAACCCTCGATCGTCGCTTATTTAAGGTGGGGAAAAATGCAATACCGCGGCATGAGAATCCACCTGATAGTAGCGTCGTTTGGCTGTTTTTCTCTCGCTGATTGCCATCATGTGGAGGTTTATCAGGAAGCGATGGCGTCATAGGGCAAGGTTTTGTTTCCGTGTCTACTGCAGAAAGACGGAGTTGACCTGTGTTTGTTTGTTCGTGCCGTCCACCTGGCGGTAGTCGGTACAACTCTCTGTGTACCTTTCTGACATCTCATCGGGAGTCACAGAGGGGTTTTCATTTGTCTGGGTTGCCCTACCTTTTTTCACGCGGTTATAGCCTTAGGTATTCTCGTGAGAAGGGTTGCAACGTCCCTTTCCCTCGTCGGCCGTGAAGTCGAAGAGTAAATACTTACCAAGTTTGATCTTTATCCAACACAACTTTTCGGGGAGAAACACTCCAGAGAGAGACCCCAACCCCCAACCTTCAACTTACGGATTGTTCTGTTATCCGCTTAGATCAAGACCTAAATTTTTGGGTTAGGGTTTTGCAAACACGACACCTTACCGCACGCGGTTTGTTATTGGACTTCAGGCGCAGCAGCATGTGCGACGCTGACGGAACAACCCGATCGACCACCATCAAAATCCTTTCACCCGATTGTTGCTGCAAGGCGTGCACGTGTTGCTTCAAGGAAACAAAGTCCGTTCCCCGGAACAACACAAGCGTTCTTCAGCTGAACGAGTATCAATTTCGCCCCAGCGACCCTTCGTGGATGACCCTCGGGTGTTTTCTTCTTTGGCTTGGCTGGTGAGTGTTGTCTGTGTCGCTAGGTTAACAGGTTCAACAGCGTACGCGGGATGTGGATCGAGTCGGGCGACTACCAATGTTTCACGCATAGCCGTTCCTTGCGTTCTTTGGTTGGCAAGTTGCCTTGAAACAGCGGCCAACGGTTTGGATCCGCGTCTGCCTGAAGTGCTCGAGTCTGGTTTGGACGTCGGGTTGGACTGCTCTTGAATGATTGCTCCTAAGACATCTATGACTCTTCGCTTAAAAAGTGGACATAGTGATGAATCCGTCCGCCATCGCAAGCAACCCTGACTACAGGTCAGCCACAACCTCCTTTCACGTGGCAGGTATGGCTTCAACTGCGGGTCTACTCTTCAGATTTCGACCGAGGAAACCCGGAACGCCGCCGGACGTGCGGCTTTGAACACTACGATTGGGGCAGGCGAGAACGAGCACGATAAACACGAGCTGTGCTACCAGAGAGCAGGATGGGGTAGCGTTTAATCGAAAATCCCTAGTATTCGGTAGCAAAGGGAAGCCCCACGGACAAAGTGTACGAGCGGGTGGGCAATCACCATGTTTCGTGCCGAACCGACCACCAGCAAAGCTTGGTACACAATATGTTCAACGTTGGACGGTTCCAAGCACCATCGTCGACATCGGCGAGGGAAACACTGACGGCCAATTTCTTTTGGCCAAAGCGTTGTCAGTCGATCGATTTGCACAGGAAAAGCTGCACAGAAACGGGGAAACCGAGTGTGAAAAAACATGGCGATGGCAATCATAACGGCTTCTTAGACGACGGTTACCCTCGATTGGTTTGGCCGTGACAATCCCATGCTGTTGCCCAGAACAGAATCAGAAGCACACCACGCCAACACATCTTGTTTCAACGTTCGATATTCTACAAGGCGGAAGTCGCCCTCATGGTGGGTCTCAAGCAATGCTCGCTCATAACACGGGGAACACTGCTAAGGAAAGTGTTGATCAAAGTTATTCAAACGCTGGTCCAAGCTCTGCAGAAAACGCTATGAAAAATGGTGAGGATCATTCTTGATATTCACACCGTACATCTTTTTCTCGTGTATTCAACCGCCGGTGTTTGTGCAGCCGTTGGGTGCGTATCGTCAATGGGCTTCGAAATTATGTACCACTGGTGGTCGCCGGAATATCGTCGAAGAGAGTTCATCAACGACCCCCTCGACTACATGCCACAGGTGATCGATGTCCAAAAAAAATTGAAATGACCGGCACTGTTACACGTGCACCCACTCATACAAGTCGTGCACATAAGATAGGTAATCACCATGCTGTTTGCTACAAATACGGCCGGCGGTGATACATCCTTATCTGTGATTCGGTACGCCCGGGATACGTCATGGGTATGGGACAAACAACCGACATATTGGGGGGATTCTGTGACGGAAAACGGTACATACGCAGAGAACTTCGCGGAGCTCTCGCGCTGATTGGCCGAACCCGCTAATGAACACCTGGTTTAGGGCCAACGCGTCAGCACACTGGAACCCGACTTCTCAAGGCGGTTGTCACCAGAGTCTTTCGCCCTCGTTGCCGTTTCGTGTACCAAGAAGAAAACCCGCTCATGCGTTTCGATTCCATTCGATTGTCCGACTTGCCAGTACCCCGATCACGAGCAAGCTGAATGCAACCATAAATTCAATCGACCTCTGTAACTGCGATATCCTTCGCACCAAGAACGCCGTTCACTACAACGCACGTACCGCAGCTCCAGGCTATTGAGTGGCCAGCGAGCTCCGTGTGGTTGTCACTATCCACGCACGCATGCCTTTGTCTCGTATGTGTTGGTTGAAGTGATTTTTTCGGGACTGGTAGCATTTCGCACCACACGAAACCCCAGCGATGGCCTCTTGACTTCGGAGGGTTGCTGTTGTGTTGTCGTCCTACCTAACGCTGTTGCTCCTACGAGTTCTCCCGCCACCAGCTACCAATCGATCGTGACCTTCGGAGTATGTCTGGGGTTGGTTTCCTCATGTAGGTGATGGGGACCTTGCAAGTCGGATAGTCCGGTCAAATCGAATGGATTGGCTGAGTGGGGTGACAGAAGGGTGACGGGGACAACAGAACAGAATACAGCAAACGGTGGGCGTAACAGCATCGGACGTGCAGTCAGCACCGAGGTGTTGACCTGCGGGAAAAAATGCCCAGAAGGGCGTGTAACGTTGCGCTACCACGTCACCATGACAAATCATTCTCATGAGAAATGACAACATTTCTCACGATGCACCATGAGATTCTCATCAGATCTTGGAGAGAAGTTTTTCATCGGTGCCATGTTAGATCATGGCGTAAGAAAGATGCATCATGAGATCCACGAGAACTTGACAACTATCAGGCCAGTAATGAGTATTCGATAATAGGCAAGGTGAATCACGTGTTTTTCGAGAATGTCGCCATGGCGCACCATGCCGCATCATGAAATCAGGAAGTTCAATGAGCACCATGGATCATTTTGGCTGCTACAATTATACGGTTGCGTCCCTTACTCTCATGCACTGTGATTCACCACCTTGCAACATGAGAATCTTACCCAAAAGGGTGCGATATGACATGATTCTCATGCACAGTCACGTATGAATACCGTATGGCAGGGCACGAGATTCTCATCTTGCGCTATGGGGCGCCAAAGTAATACATCACAATACCTCTGTTTGTCTGGAGTGGCATCGGGAACCTGGGAGACGGAGCGGTGGCAACACGCGAACGACGTGTTGCCGTACGGCTGGAGGTGTTCTTGGGGTCAGTTCGACACTGGCAACAACATAGTCTACTCTGAGTCATTGGCGAGAACACAGAATTTCTTCGAGCCACGGAGAAGAAATTGTGACTCAGAGATATACTTCCTCTGTCACAGAAGTAAAGTCCGTTATGATTTCACGGCCATTTAGCCGTGTCCGATGTCTTAGGCGATACTTTTTTTGAAATCTTGAGCGTTTTTCGGGTTGAAACCCATATTTCTTTTTTTTTCTTGCGCACTACCCTGCATGCACTAGCGGCTTACAAAAAAGTAGTCAGGCCAAAAAAGGCCGTATTTTGCCCCTTTCCATGAGGGTGGGGGTGGGGGCACGAAACGAAACATACCAAAAAAAGACATGAATTATCCCGAACCCTAAACCCAAGGTTTACCTCCATTTCGCGTCCTCCCATACAAAAACCAACATAGTAGTGAACCCACACTAAAATCAAGACATTTTCGAGGCCCACACTAAAACCAAGACACTTGGGGGCGCCACACTAAAATCAAGTTACTTGCGGGCCAAAGCCGACAGGCGTAAGGTCCTAACCCTACCCCCCCCTTGTACTCAACGACCCATGTCGCGTCCGCCCAATGTTTTCTGGGGTAATCACTACCAACGCCGTACCGCTCGGCGAGGGGGCCTAGAAAGCCCTTGGGTACCCTTTCTTTGCCCGGCGGAATCGCCAACGCTATCTCCACCGCCATGGCGTACCGACGACCCAACGATACTTCCGCACCCCGCTTACGACGTGGGGGTGTCTGGGCGTCGTCCCCCATGATAGCTACGTCGTTGTGGTTGTAGTGGGTGCTCACACAGCACAAAGCTGCAAATATTCCTTTAAATATTCTCAAAATGTTTTCAAAATATTCCCAAAATATTCGCAAAATAGTCCCGTATTTGACACACTAATGCTCAGTAATTGTGAGTCGGATTTTTTTTTATGTTATGTGCGTAACAAGGGCTTTCCAACAAACCTAACTAGAGCTTCAGGAACACCTTGGCTGGTGAGGTATGTATATTCCCCCATAACGGACTTTACTTATGTGACAGAGGAAGTATTTGTCATGTTTCTAACCCTTGTGGCGTCTTGCACAAGACCTATTGACTGTGTTGATTATCGCATCCCCCACGACTGGTGAATCGATTCCATGTCTTATTTCCGCCCGCGAGGAAACAGCTGTCATCGCAAGACCCTCGACGAAGGAGGACTACCGGGTCCACCGACGACGCAAAGGACCCCGAGGACGAGCACAACAGTGGCAAGTTCAGGTGGCGCCTCAGCACCCACAAGTCCATCCACGGGGCGGCCTGCAACGGGGTCCTCGTCGGCCTTGTCGGCGTCACCGCCGGTAAGGAGTAAGGATACCACTTCGGACGACCAAGACGAAAGAGCGGCAGCACTGAGAGTCGCGATTGAGAATAAAGGGCTCTGTCTGGGGCCCTCGAGACTCTCCCTCCGCTTCCAGTTTGGTCTACGCTGGTGTCTGCAGTAGTTTGCATTTGCACATGAATGATCACTAAATGCGGATGTGAATCTTGCTTGGAACCTCATTCTGCTGAATGCAGGCTGCGCTACGATGCACCCATGGCATGCCATCTGGGTGTCTATCGTCTCTGCACTCGTGTACCACGTGTCGTACCGTGGCATCATCTGTTGCAATATCGACGACGCCATCAACGCCGCCGCCGTGCACCTGGTAAGTCCGTTTGCCCTCCCCGTCATCGTAGTTTGATTTCTCTTCTCAAGCGCCTCCGTAAGATGCCCTGCGTCTCCGTCGTGGGGTTCTTCCCTCTACTTACCACCAAACCCCCCGCGTCAGGGCCCATGGCTTAGCGTCGACATGATTGAGTAGTTGGCAACGTTTCACGGTGCCGCCTTGCTTGTGTTGACATTATCTGGTGGCCATCGTGTCATGTCTCTCTGACAGGTCAAGCATGCAACGTAGTACGCTCGATTGATCGGCGGCTCTAGGCAAGGAATGCATATCGCCAAAACATGACAATCCTTTCCCTTCCGAATCCCCGATAATTCGTTACAGGTTGGTGGTTTGTGGGGCGTTGTCGCCGCAGGATTAACCGTGGACAATGCCGCTCGTGTGGACCTGGGCTTCCCCGGCCAGGAGGATGGCTGCACCCCAGAAAACCAGGCGTGGGTCAACGTGCTGATGGCCGTGATCATCTTTGGTTACGTGAGCAATAATCGAACGTTGTATCTTGGTTGATGTGGTGAACTTGATCAATCTCTTGAGGTTCGCCGACTGTCGAATTGCTCTGACCCCAGCACACAAGGGCATGTCAGGTTTAGCCTATATTGGCCTGTTCAGTTAAAACTAATGGTTGTCCACCATGGTTTCCGATGTGGCGGATGGTTGCGCCGTAGATTATGTGACATACTCGAAGGCACGCGTTCAACGCATGTTCTCTTCGGACTGACGGTCAACCTTGTTGGCGATAGCTGAAGTCTCGTTGGACACAGCATATTCGGCTACAATAGGTGACATCCCTTATCGATGGCGAACTTTCGAATTTGACACATCCGTATCATCTCGCTCCGATGTCTGTTGAAGAGATTCATTTCAAGTCTCCTCTGGAACCTACAGCGACCCTTGACACAGAGAACGCGTGTGGCTGATAGGATAAGTTCGGTAGTTACTCGCTCGTCTCCGGTGCAACACTCATCCTGCCCTCAAGCGAACACTGTTCAGAACCTTTCGCTGCTTTTGCTAGCTGCCACACAAGCGTTCAGTGAGGTAGACGTTTCCTTCATGTAACCACAATAATATTTGCCTCCAGTTAATGTCATTGAGTGTTGCTGCTGCCTAGCATTACGAAAAGACGTGCCTCGCTCGAAAAAGCTCTTCGTGGCCCCATGTGTGCGCCCCGAAGAATGCACACTCTGCTTAATTCTCTGGTCTCTCCTTCCCCCACTTTGCGGCTTGACAAGTCGATCGTGTGCGGGGTGCTCCTATGGGGGTTCTTCACGCTCTTGGGCATCGCACAGAAGGCCAAGGAGAGCAACACCACGCCCAAAGAGAAGGACCCGAACCTCACTGAGGCGGAAACCAAGATCCGAAGGTAAATACTCAAAGCCGTGCCCCCTGCGGCGCCATGACAGTGCGAAACCGCCCGTTCTGGTTCTTGAAGATCAGTCGGAGGTCCCGAAGGGTCGTCCAAAACGTAGTACACGCAACCAATCGGACGCATATTTGCGTCCAACGTTATCACGGCCTTGCGGTACACGTTCCTATGACGAATCAGCCGGGGCTAGAATTCCAACGTTTCCTCTCGCAGTTCTCGCCTCGAACTGTTGGGCATGGGCAATTGCTGAAGAAGATCATCTTCATCTCTGCGATCCAACAGCGATCGCCTTGTTAACAACGTGGACGCACAATACAATGTTTCATGTTTGTTAGGAATATCCGAACTGGGGGTAGCTTGTCGCAAGACGTGTGTTGATTAGGGTATCGGCAACTCGGCGGGCTCGCGCCGAGGAGAAAAACTTGTTGCGAATAGTTGCATCCACATTCACAAACACAAGCCCCATTGAGAGGGCGATGCCGCATACAACAGGGGTAACTTGTACATCCCTGGAATCCATTCTACGTACCACATGTCACTCGGTATTCCGCTCTACCTCATTCCACGGGAACATCCCGGACCAACCACTTGGCATTGCTACAAGAATATCGATCAGCCCCCCTGCTTGTGATCATGCCATGTCTTCATGGTCTTTCAGCAACTCCAAAACACAAGAAAATGAAATCGAAAACACAACTCAAATCTGCAACAATAGCTTTCTGGGCTAGAAATATATTTCTTTCCCCGATCATTCCAGTTGTAGTTCTTCGACAATCATGGCGATCCAATTGCCCCCCAGCCTAGAGCACCATTCATTGAGAAAACCATAGGCAAAAAATTAAACAATGCCACCCTAGTTCTTTGATCAAACACAAATAAATCGAAATCTACCGTTCCTGTCCCACACTCATCATGAAAGTACGATGAAACTCAAAATCTCCGACGTGAGGTGCCTTCGTGAGGAAGTCAGCATGTTGATACACTGATTCCACGTGAAAATCGAAATCTCCTTCCTGCCTACCAGTTCCCTGATAAAGTGGTGCCTTAGGTCGATGTGCTTCGAGTTACTGTTGCTAATCGGGTTCTGCGCCAACTGAATAGCCCCCTGGTTATCCTCGAACACCGGAATACACGGCATACCTGCTTCTGGCAACATGAAATGCCATACCTGCCTCAGAAACAACACTTCCTTCATCACATCCGCAAGGGAGACATACTCCGCCTCTGTCGTGCTGAACGTAACGCAATTCTGCGTCCTTGAAAACCTGCTCTCCAATGAATTTCTTTGGGAGAAGCACAGTACCGTGCTACCGCTCTTACTGCATTCGCGATATCTGGCCTCGTTTGTGTTGCCAGCCACATCAGTGATCCTATCAGCTCGCGAAAAGGCCATGATACCACTTCCTCATCCTGGTCAAACTCTGAAAGCTTCAACCCTACAGGAAGAGGGATTTCCTTCCCGTACTCTACCCCAAACTCCATCCCCAACTCTTCAGCGTACGTCTGCTGCGAGATCTTCAAACTCCCTGCATCCCAATCTCTCTCATAAAAACATCCAGAGTACCATCTCAAGTCCCCAAGATTCTTCACCGGTACCATGGTGTTGAGGTCCCTACCAAATTGGTCACACCTCTCCTCCTCTCCAATCGAAAATATGTCATCCACATGTACTGCCAGAGTCACTACCACTCTTCCCTCCTCGATCAACCGAAACACACACGTATCCGCCAGGCACTGAATAAAACCCAAACAAATCAAACACCTCACCAAGTGTGAATGCCATTGCCTTGATGCCTGCTTAAGGCCATACAGACTCTTGTTTAACTTCACTATCATGCCTGACAATCTACCACATCCCTCTGGCAGACGCATGAAAACAAACTCATCCAAATCCGACTGGACAAATGCTTGCTTGATGTCAAAATGACGAAGAGAAAAATATTGCTCACATGCCATCGCTGCCAACAAGCGAACGCTGGAACCACTGCAGTCGGTGCATACGTCTCTCCACAATCTACATGTACTCGCTGCATATCTCCTCTCGCTACTAGCCGTGATTTCACACTAGTCGGCCAACCATACTCATCAGACTTCCAATTAAACACCCACTTGGCATTGACAACACTCTCTGGTTGCTACATTACTTCCTCAAAGGTACCAGCCTCCATCAGACCTCTGAACTCCCTCTCTACAGAGTCTATCCACAAGTCAGCATACTTAGAGGACACAGCCTCCCTGTATGTTTTGGGCACGCCCAAGTCGTTAGCATAGCAATGTGGCAAGTCCGGTGCCACTTCCGGGGGATTTCAATCCCTCATCGTGCGATCAATGTCATCGTGGGAGGCAAGCAAGGTGGTGCACGCAAATGGGACTTCTTCACGCAGTCCTTCGGTTTTCGTGCCCCCCCGCTCTCGCCCCCCCGGCTCCGCTCCTTCACGTCTTCCGGCTGAACTCGGGATCTCCTTTCTCCCCATATCGACGACGCTGCGAGTGGTGNTCCGGTGCCACTTCCGGGGGATTTCAATCCCTCATCGTGCGATCAATGTCATCGTGGGAGGCAAGCAAGGTGGTGCACGCAAATGGGACTTCTTCACGCAGTCCTTCGGTTTTCGTGCCCCCCCGCTCTCGCCCCCCCGGCTCCGCTCCTTCACGTCTTCCGGCTGAACTCGGGATCTCCTTTCTCCCCATATCGACGACGCTGCGAGTGGTGGGAGTCGACAGAAGCGTTGCCTTGTCCTGCAGGGATACAAGCCCGAAGCGGTGGGTGGGAGCGCCGCTGCTCCCGCCAGGTGACGTCGACCGCTCGCCCCCCCCCATCCTGGCAGAGAGGCGCGGCATTGACGACGCCCGCCCCCCCCCTTGGTCCTTAGCGGCTGCCCTCGTGCGCCCAGAAACCCTCATGTCCCCACGCCCCACGTCCAGTTCACGCATGGTCCTCGTAGTGAGCGGCGGCATGTTGGTCGATGGCGCGGCACCGGGCGGTGCAACGGCGGGAGACGGTGGCACGACGGCGAACGGAGTTGCAGGCGGTGCGGTGGTGGTGAACGGTGGCATGGCGGCGAGCGGCGTTGCAGGTGGCCCGGTGACCGGTGGCGATGGTGTGGCTGCGGTAGACGGCGCCGCCGGCGATGGTGGTGTGGAAGTTGCCGGCGGTGCTAGAAACGGTGCGGCGGCGACGTCCGAATCCCCCCCCTCGCCCGCCGGCGCCGGCATCTCCAGCGGCGGGGTCAGCAATGGCGCGCGGTCGGAGACTCACACGACGTTGTTCGTTATGCACACGCGCCCTGTCGAATTTGAGGACCTTGACCGCCCACTCGTGATGGTTGTCGCCGTTGTTGAGGTAGAAGCACAGCACANGCGGTAGACGGCGCCGCCGGCGATGGTGGTGTGGAAGTTGCCGGCGGTGCTAGAAACGGTGCGGCGGCGACGTCCGAATCCCCCCCCTCGCCCGCCGGCGCCGGCATCTCCAGCGGCGGGGTCAGCAACGNGGGGTCAGCAATGGCGCGCGGTCGGAGACTCACACGACGTTGTTCGTTATGCACACGCGCCCTGTCGAATTTGAGGACCTTGACCGCCCACTCGTGATGGTTGTCGCCGTTGTTGAGGTAGAAGCACAGCACAGCCTGGGGATCCATCTTCCGCGCGCGCATCACACGCATGTACCCCGGCTGTAAGAACGGGACGATCTGGATCGGGGCGGGCGACCGGTGAAGGCTCGCACGGCGACTTGTACCCGACGTTTGCCTTGGTCAGAGAACGGGTGAAGCCGCCGGCAGCCCAGTGACACGACTCTAGCCAAAGTCGCTCGCCATCGCGTCCGAAGCCGGGGACGCGGGTGAAGTCGACCTCGGGAAACAGGCAGCGTGGCGATGAACTTCTTGACGAAGGCGAGGGTGTCCGACTCGCGCCTCATCCCGTACAGCTTCATCCACCGCGAGAAGCTGTCCATGAACATGATCATGAAAAACGACCCTCCCAGCGAGGCCGTCATCAGCCCGCACAGATCGTTATGCCAAAGATCGTGCGGCCGCTCCGCGCGCGTGCCCGATTGGTGAGGCACACCCGCCTTCTTCCCCTTCGCCTGCAGACATCCACCGCAAGGCTGCAGGACACCGGTCAGTTTNCCAAAGTCGCTCGCCATCGCGTCCGAAGCCGGGGACGCGGGTGAAGTCGACCTCGGGAAACAGGCAGCGTGGCGATGAACTTCTTGACGAAGGCGAGGGTGTCCGACTCGCGCCTCATCCCGTACAGCTTCATCCACCGCGAGAAGCTGTCCATGAACATGATCATGAAAAACGACCCTCCCAGCGAGGCCGTCATCAGCCCGCACAGATCGTTATGCCAAAGATCGTGCGGCCGCTCCGCGCGCGTGCCCGATTGGTGAGGCACACCCGCCTTCTTCCCCTTCGCCTGCAGACATCCACCGCAAGGCTGCAGGACACCGGTCAGTTTGAGACCGTGCTGCTTCGCAAGCTCACGCAAAAGAAACTCATTGGCGTTGGAGCACGAAACGTGGAGGAGGTTAACGTCAATAATCTTGGTGGGTTTTCCCACCGAAAAAGGGCGCTTGCCCGGGGCCATGACGGGGACGGCGAAAGCAACATCATCGAAGACATTTGCAAATCTAGACTCAAACATCAAGTCTAAAACTCGTAGGGGTCTTCTGATACCCCTCTTTGTTCCATTAGGTACACAGCCCACTCGTAATCTCCCTCCTCTGTGTACGGAATGCATCCACGGTCATCATCATCATTACTCTCCTGAAAAAATGGAGATTTCGGGCGAGGGCAGCCCGGGAACGNCTTGTAGGGGACTTCTGATAACTCTCCTTGTTCCAATAGGTACACAGCGCACTCGTAATCTCCCTGCTCTGTGTACGGAATGCATCCACGGTCATCGTCGTCATTACTCTCCTGAAAAATGGACATGTCGGGCGAGGGCAGCCCGGGAACAGCTACCAACACCAGACCATGCGGCACTTGAGGAGCAGAAGGAAACACCACACTCCTGTCAGCGGGGGGGGGGGCATACATTGCCGGAGGAACGACGCTACTCGCAGCGGGCGGGAGACCGGACATAATTGATGACACTACGCTGTTTGCAGCGGGCGGGAAACCGGGCACAGTAGAGGGCACTACGCTGTTTGCAGCGGGCGGGAAACCATACACCGTGGAAGGTACTACGCCGGCAGAAAGGGGCTGAAAATTTGACACGGTGGTTTGAACAACACTCCTGGGAGCGGTATGAGGTACAGACATCACCGGAGGCACTACGCTGCTTTCAGCGGGCGGGACACCTGACACACCCGGGAGGGGGGGGAAACACCGGTGGGGTCTCTGTCATCACTCTACCATCACTCGCATGTAAACGTACACCAGCAGCGCGGGAAGGGGGCACGGGGGGAAAAGGCATCACAGGCACAGCGGTGGGCGATTCATCGTTGGGCGGCAAGCGAGTGGCCCAAAGCAACGAACCCCTCTCGCCACGGGGAGAGGTCAATTGGCCATGGAAAAGATGGGTGCCTACGTCGTCCAAGGCAATACGCTGCAATCCCTGCGCTTGGTGGAGGGAGAAAAGATTGAACCCCGTTCCTTCTACATGACGTCCTCGGGTAAGCTTCACGCAAAAGTCTCTACCTTCAAGATGGAACCTCAAGTTTAAACACCCGATTCCAAGCACTCGCATCGTCCTGCCATCACCGATCTGCACTCTCTCGCTACCAAGGGACGGGATGATCACGTTGTACATGTTCGTGGGGTCTCCGGTGGTGTGGTTAGTTGCACCGGAGGCTGCAAGCCATTCTTCAACTCCTACACGCTCCTCCCTCACAACCGGTATAGAGTTCATCAAGGCATACCCCTCACCCCCTACGAATCCACTCGAAATCTCACTCTGGTACTCACTTCACATGTCCCTTACAACACACGCATGCAAAGTCCCCCCTGCCGACGAAGGTGCTCCGGTCAAAGGCGCGGGAGAGGCGTATGGGGCGGGGACTGGCTGCTGCTGTTGGGAGGGGGGGGATAGGTGCTCCGGCTGCTGCTGTTGGGGTGGGTATTCGTACACCCCGGTCAAGTGCGTCACTGCATGCCCCCCCGTAGATGGTGCTGCCGTCGTCGCCACCGTCGTCCCTGCTGCTCCTGGCTCTACCCCTTCTCCGCCGTACTGCTGCGCGGTGTTGGCCTGCCCATACGAGTGGGCCCACGGCAACCGCTGGCTGTAGCCACCGGCCGGTGGCCGGGGCGGTGGGGGCCTAGGCGGTGCGTTGGCGGCCGGCATGCCAGCTGGCCTTGCGACATCAACACGCGAAGGACAGAACAGATGGTTGTGGCCGAATCCACCGCAGTTCTCACACCCCTTGCGAGGGTCATTCGGGTGGATGGGAGGTTCATTTCCCTGCGGGCGGTACATGTGGGGGGGGTAGGCGCTGTAGTCGTAGCCCCGCTGAGGTACAGGGTAGGCGGGGAGGTTGCTGCCCGGCGGTCCCTGGTGAAAAGGACCCCTGCCCCCCCCACCGGAAGTGGCGCCACGCCCCCCGAATCTTCCTCCTGCCGGCTGCTGCTGATGACGTCCTCCTCCAGAAACGCCCCGGCCCCCATGCTGGGGCCCGTGCCTTCCGCCGCAGCGCGCACCTTGGCCGCCCGAGGGACCTCCCCAACGCCGCTGCAGGTGACACTCCTCGTTGCTGTGAGACGAGGAGTTGTGGAGGTCACAATGTTTTATCTCAGGCGGGGACGGCGGCGGGTAAACCTGTTGCTGCTGCTTGAAGTACGGCTGATGCTGCTGCTGTGGCTGCTGCGGTTGTTGCTGCTGTTGCCGCGCTGCGTCCTCCGTTGTCCTCTCGTCTTCCCTCTATCCCCCATGTTCCCGCCCCCGCCACCACGGTCATCACCACCAGTGACGAGGGGATACGCCCCCACGCTCTCCGACGCCCGCTTCCTAGCGGCCTCCGTCTCCGCCCAGGCAGTCGGAATCACCTTCTCTACCAATGCCGTCTTGACCTCCCAATGCGCCAACAACACGCTCCTCTGCACATTGAATTCGGGCCGAAGGTTGCGTACATAGTGGACGTAAGCATCATGATCGGATTGCACCCAACCGTACGCTTCTAGTTTTTGGCGAAGTACTGGTGCTCTTGTGAGATAGCAACGGGGCTCCTCCCCTACTTGCTGCTTCAACGAGTACCACCGCCCCTGCAACTCCAGCTTTTCCGTTTCTGCGTGCACTCGGTAAAAGTTGAGAAATGGATCCCACGATTCAGTGGGGCAACCATCAGCATAGCTAGGATTGCAGGGATTATTGTCGTATCTTGGATACTATTAGCTGCCAAGCCTTAACCGCCCGATCTACAGCTTCCATCCCATGCTCCACCTTCAACGCCGAGATATTCGCATCCGTCTTCCCAACACGAATCGTTGTCTCTATTGCCCCAAGGCAACGCTCCTGCTCCAACGAAATTGACTGGGTCTGTACATCGTCCTCGGGGCTAAACTTCCCGGTGAATGCAGGGATTGTGATACCTTCGCTAATTCGTATTGTTTCATTAAGGGTGTGGACGTCCCTGTATTCATCCTCCGGTTCAATCTTGACCCTTTGCAAGGCCCGCGCAAGGGTGTCGATGAGGCTGACGTCCATCGGGGCTGGTCTTCGGGTTGTGGGCTTGACTCCGAGCCAGCCGGCCTCTCCAGCCGGGTGTCGCCTCCTTCGGAAGGCATGCCCTCGCTCTGTGCTGCGGGGCGCTCTGCTGCTGCTGCTTCTTCTACTTTGATCTTGACCTGCTCCTTGATAAGGGCGTCGATTACGTTTCGCTGCTCGTCCGAGAGCTAGAGCTCATCCAGCTGCTGCTCCATGATTTCCGTGTCACTGTTCTCTGGCCGAACCCTTTTGTAGCTAGCCCCACCTCGGGATCACGTATGATATCACACGCTAGCATGAAAGGATGATCCGAACTAGGGTTAGCTTGTCGCGAGACGTGTGTTGAATAGGGTACCGGCAACTCGGCGGGCTCGCGCCGAGGAGAAGAACTTATTGTGATTAGCTGCATCCACATACACACAAAGCACCAATCGACTCATCGTTGCTATCGCCAACCACTTGGCGCACGAAGCTTTTTGCCGGGGGAATTTCGAAGACGAAAGAGCCTTAGTTCGCCTGAAAGCGTTTCATACTAACAGGATTCGGAGATGGTTTACCTTCGAGCTAGCTCGTTTTCTGTCGATGCGAACTCGCGATGTGTTCAAACGTCATGGGCTACTGATCGACCAACTTCCACCAGGGCCAATCGGTTGGGATCTCTGCGACAACGATAGTAATGAGGGTAATTCTTTTGGGAGTGACGAAGACGAAGGAAAGGAAAAGGGAAGAAAAGAGGACGAAGACGACGATGGAGCAGGAAAACATGGAGGAGTANAGGGTTTGAGCCAGATGACCTTCCCCACAACAAGAAACGTAGGGCTAGGGAAGAACTGCCCAGAGATTCTTCTTGTCGAAATGAGGATCAGAATGATGGTAGCGAAAACAAGGAGGACACTGGTGAAAGTACTCCTAAACGAACTCGAGTACTAGGTAATAGCCTTGGTAGACGGGTGCAGTTTTCTTCTGTTGCTGCTGTTTTTGTTTTTGATCCGAAGGATAGCTTAGCCTCCCCCATGCTGCCCCCTCACGGGGTCCCGGTTCATGGTAGATAGAAGTGTTTTGTGTTTTCAACCACACTAAGGCTGACGTCTTTTCATTGGTCAGCCGATTAGCGCGGTCGATGTTAACAATAAAAGTACACACACAAGCCCCGTTGAGGGGGCGACGCCGTATACAACAGGGGTACCTCGTACATCCCTAGAACCCATTCTAGGTACCACACATGTCACCCGGTATTCCGCTCTACCTCATTTCATGGGACATCCCGTACCAACCACTTGGCATTGCTACAAGTATATCTTTCAATGTTTGCCCAACACCTCATCAAGTCAGACAGTGCCTTCTTCTTCGCGCCACCCCATGACCTCGACCAGGGATATTGACGATATCGACGACCGGCTTGATCGTCTTGACGCAGAGGGAGGCGAGCTTGAGACCCTCAAGAAGCGTATGAAACGGCTCGAGAGCGCACGGGGTTAGGTCACGATGCCCAATGTGAGTACAGGAAGCCGGCAACAGGAGCAGGAGCGCAGAATCGCGGGGTTATGTCTAAACCTTGTATGTGGACAAATATTGCTGTCCATGTTGGTATCAGTCGGCGCGGCCTGGGAAACACTCGCGAGAACCCCCCCCAAGTCTGACTGGCGTGAGCGACAAAAGCCCGTTCGTCAGGTCCTCAACTAAGGTCTTCTGAAGTACATACCAAGGGCCTTGAGAGACTTCGAACCGTACTAAAACGGTGGCCACCTCCAAGCCACGATGTCAATGGCATCCTTTCCATACAGGCACTACCCGAGCAATATTTGACCCTCGAGTTAAACTTCCTCACCGCGCGTCTTTCCCTGCGATTGTCGTTCTTTTCCGTGCTGGGCGTGCGGATCGTCTGTTCACCCCTGGGGGTGGCAGTATTTTTCAGAACGTAGAGATCGGCAGTCGCGGTGCGAGATCTGTCATCGGCGGAAAAAAACGCGGCTTGATTGCAAATCGGGGCAAGAGACGAGCGTCACTGATTCTTGGTTATTGTCGTTGCAGACGTGGTGACGGAGCGTGGTGTTTATTTCGTCGTCTTGTTGGGTGACTTCATCTTTGGTGCAGTATTACAGTAGGTATATTTTCTGGCACAAGCTACACATTGTCCTTTGGAGTACATGATCTCTTTGCGTATGAGAAACAAATAACATTGCGTCACGGCTCGGCTGCAGATTTTGCTGTGATTACCGAGACGATGGTAGTCACCGAGTGTTCGCGCAGGGTCTGTAGAGCAGAAAGAAGGAGACGACTGCTTACAGACGCTGCATTCGATCTGAGGTGACGACTGTAAACACGAAATATGTGCATGTACTTGATTCATGCCGAGCAAACGTTCACTCTGGAATCGAAGTTGGGATATTGGACGGACGAGTGTTCACTAGAGTTGAGAATTGATTCTGGTGCCTACCTTGCAACTGTTTCATTCCTGATCTGGGTCACATGCGCACCCTAGGGTAAATACTGAGTATTCCAACGAGCTGGATGTGGGTGGGTGATGCACAAATATATACTTGCTCAACATTGTCGTTTCTCCATTGTTTTTTCTCGAGAGACCATTGGTCAGAAATAATCAGCCCGAAACTTGGAGGGGAGCCGGCGGAGGCAGCAAGCACGCCTCTTCCACCTTACAAAAAAAATAGAAGAGACGGGGACCGCCAACTCTATTTCCAAGTCAAGAAACGGAAATGCGGCGTAACTTGGGTCATAAAAACGCGGCCTAACTGTGCTCAAAATCATAAGCTTTGAAAACGATCCGCAACTGACATTTCCGCCTTAGGGCTTGAGAACGTCAAGGATAAGTTTAGATTGGAAAGTCCGCCAAAGTACGTGGAAAAACCTCGTCATTTTTGGGGTCCATGGTGAATAAGTGACACATGCTACGCTTCTTGGTAGGATATCATGCGCGAGGGAGGAAAGCCGAGTAGAGCACACCCACAAGACATAAAGGGGCTGCTAGAACAGGTGTTTGACGTGGATGGTAAGGAATGAAGTCACTACAGGGATCAGGGTATGAGTGGGCAGGAGGAGTCGCGACATGGCATGGACGATGAACCCGATGGCGCGTTACAAGGAGAGACGTTGCCTTGGTTGTGTGTGAAAAACGTGACGACGAGGCGTGTGCAATTTTTGCCCTGGATTCAGTCATTTCTCTGAACGACGCGAATCCGATGTTTGAGGGACAGGCACAATTTTCCTGTCCTCAGTGATTCTTTGTCAGCGGTCGCCTTCGGGGCGTCTCGATGCCGATGCTCTGGTTAGGGTCTTCGCTGTCCTAGTTCAAGAGAGAGTGGAATTTTCGCCGGCACTAATTCTACGTAGGAATTGCTTGCCAGAACCGTGCTAATCCTCATGTGTTCTGCATGGAAGAGTCGAGAACGGTGATTATTTCGCTGAACGTTCCTGAAGGAAAGATTCAGAATTATGACAAGCAAGATGATGCATTTCACTCTCCAATTCAGCAAGCGTCGCCACGGAAACCAGGAACAAAGGAGGCTTTGGTGGAAGTCACCTCATTCGTCGGCAGGCGCTCCGTCGTGCCCACTCCGAACACGCCTGCGTTTCGTTTAGGTGTAGTATTTCGCTTGGGGCCACCCCTCCCTCGCCCCCCCCCCCCCCCCCCCCCCCCCCCCNCCCCCCCCCCTTCTCCCGCTCCCCGTGTGAGCGCCACGCATCAATATGGCGATTGACTACATCCCACCCGTTGAGCCGGGTCACCTCGCAGACAGCAACTCCTCCAACATTATCCTATTTCTACCTAAACAACCGACTGGGAGTTGCGTAGGCCCAAATTCCCTATTCGCACATGCACCGGTGGCGGTCCTCGACCTTCAGGCGATCAGCAGCGCTATCACAGCAGATTATGAACAACAGAAGTAACAACAAAACAACAATGACGGCACCAACAACAACAGTGACACGTTGCGGGCATGTGTTGTTTGGATATACCCCGAATACTTGGCGGGGGGGCGGGGGTACTCACAGTCGTGCATGCCGTAGTCGTTAGACCATTGACCTCGCATCCCTACAAAGCCGGGACGGAGCACGCCGGGTTCTCACCGGACCAGGCTCTCACATCACCAAGCGCGAAGCGCCGTGAGGTATTCGGCGGGTCGCATGAAGGGTGCGCTGCACCCTGCTAAGGGTTTTCGGCATCTTGCTTATACTTCCTTGCGTACGGATGACAGCTGC